ATTTTTGTTGCACTGTACCTTTAAGTAAACACCAAACACTTTGTGACATTGTGAAACATTCCTCAATACACTTAGGTTTTAGAAATTATTCTCTTCCCTTGGCAGCTTGATTGGACCACGGCATGCCAAGCAGCCTACTCGGCTTTCTTGCGGAAAGACATTTTGTCTTTCGTCTCCTGCAGTTTCTCCGAAAATTTGTCTTTCGTCTCAGAGATGCGCCCTTTAGTCCCCTCCATCCGTTCTGAGAGCAGTTCTTTGGTTTCCTCCATCTTCTCTGAAAACCTCTCTTTCGTCTCCTCCATTTTTTCAGTCAGTAGTTCCCTGGTCTCCTCCATTTTGTCCTGCAGGTACCCTTTAACAGGCGGAGGGGTTGAGAAGGTATCCGTGTTTGCGGAGGTACTGCACAGACAGGGACGTTCCGCCCAGTGTAACAGTGTATCGGGCAGGAGTAGCGAGCTGTGACCAGATAGACAAAGCGACAAAATAACATTAACCATAAATCATATACATAATTGAAATCCATGTCATTGTCAAATAATCTTAGATTTTGTTTATATACCTTGTACATGGCATATGCTGTGAGTGCATAGCCACCCTGGGAATCTCTCAAAATTCCCACCATCCAATCCGGTAAACCGATGAACTCCAGAAACGGGATCAGATTCACCCCTCTGCGGAACATTAACATCCACTCATTTATATTTACTAGAGAGATTGTTTGCTTTTGTTACCTCAAAGTATTGATTGTCCACATTGTAAACAGACTTTATCTGGTAAAACTCAATCTCCCTGCCAGCCTCACCTTAAAGTCTGGCCGCTTAGTCTGTATGTTTTCATCTTTAAAGTAAAATCACCTCAATTCATGTAGTTTACTAAAGTCAACATACATAATGAGCTCGTTTACATATATAAATACATCATAAAAAAGCTACATTAATTAGTGAAGCACATATATTATATCGGTACCATATTAGTTATCAGCTTTTAGTTTAATTTCTAAATTCATTTTAATTGTACATGCTCTTTTCTACATTTAAATGACCTTTGCTGTCAACTAAAATTCACTTTAAATGAACTCTTTAAAACACTAATAATTTAATAACACTTTAAATGTAATATTTAACAAATCAATAAATATCCATTTTTCATACTGTATAATATTGTGATGCCTATATTCAGCGACAGCATTTAAAATGATTTTAGTGTTTTCCTTTTCTTTTATTTAGACAAAATAGTAGGGCTGTCAAACGATTAATCGCATCTAAAATAAAAGTTTGTGTTTAGATAATATATGTGTGTGTACTATTTTGTGTGTGTGTATATATATATATATATATATATATATATATATATATAAACACATGCATGTATATTTAAGAAAAAAATATTATTTATATAAAATATATTTATATATAATATAAATTATATATAAATCTAATTCTTAAATATATACAAGCATGTGTGTGTATTTATATATATAAAATAATTATACACAGTGTACCCACATATATTATGTAAACACAAACTTTTATTTTGGATGCGATTAATCGTTTGACAGCCCTACAAAATAGTGTATTATTTTAATTAATCAGTCATTGCGTGAAAATACTTAACAAAATGTTATCTTTGTAAAACCCAAAGACAAAACTAAATGTAATACATAAATATTCTTAAATCTGTTCATTTTATAGTCAATGCCAAAATCTTCTTGTTAGTTTTACTAATGGTGCGTTTCTGTGCAGGATGCTGGTCACTTACTTCATTGCAGCATAATAGAAGCTCCCAAACCACACTGTGGACGTGACGACGTGCACAGGCACCATGACTTTACCATACTGTTTAAATGTCTTTTTTAAATCTCTGGAAGAGCCCAATAGATTTGTCCTGCAGAGGGTCGACATCACCCTTACTCTGAAGGCCAGACTCGGTATCACCCTTAAAAAGACCCTCAGTCCCAGCTAGACTTTGTGGAGGGTTTAATGGCGTTTCTTCCTCTGTGGACGTTTTGGGGGCTTCCTTCGTCCTGATGACATTAGTGCAACTGAAGCAGCGTGAGGTCCGGACGGTCACAGGAAGCTCCCGCACAGCCCGGGTGTGACCCAGGTATGCCGAGCGCAGCAGGACCACACGCCGCAGTGCGACTGGAGCCCACATCATAAGCTCCCCCACCAACAGAGCGCCACCTACAGGTCCTGGACAGGCTAAAGAGGTTAGTGTCATACAACAATTACAAACTATTACAGTAGCAGTCAAAAAATGTGGTCACACTTGAATAAAATGTAATAATTATATAATAAAGTTTTATGTATGAGTCGGCCTGGATATTAATTACACTATATACAGCTAACTAGTGCCAGGGATACATAGGAGTGTCTTCAATAAAAAAGCATCCAGATTTCTATCTACTACAGTAGGTGTGGCTACTTTGAAGAAGATAAAAACATTATGTAATGTGACTTCCAAAAACAAGTATACTTTGCTGACTCTGGTTTAGGTTAATGTAATGCAACTTAAAATGTTATTGGAAATTTTCAACTTAACTATCCATGATCTATTTAGTCATGAGTAATGATTCAAAGGCCACACAGGCTGAGCATGAAGAACACATGCTATTGGTCAGAGGTTTGGGTCATGGCTCTCTGTCAAACACCAGACGGATCAGGTTAAAGACAAAGTACTGTAATTCCAAAGATTAACAAGGTTAGTTTTAACCAGTCAGCTACACTTGACTAATTACCGGCTTATCATTTTTGCAGTAGGGAGAATATTCCCTTAAACGTTCTTCAATGTTTTATATGTAACGTTAACACAACTGTAACATGTTTCCTACTTTCTAAGTAAAAGACCAAGCAAGCATCTTAGCTGATGAACTATAGTTGTGCTTTGTTTAGCTTCATAACATTATATGAATACGGATATTTACTCAGTCAAAAAAAAAGTGTCAAAACATTTAATTCACTGACTAAAGGTTTAGGGTTCAATTTCTGACATGTTGTTTTTATGAAGTAACATCAGTTTGCCCAGAACACAAAGCACGATCACTATTTTGTTAGTCTTCGACATGTGACATTGGTGGGTTGTTTTGGAAGACAGTTAGACGTTTGCAGAAGTAAAAACACTAACTTTATTGCTTGTCAAGTCAACAGGGCCCTGATCTTAACTTCAACACACTGCTTTGCCACTCCAACAGGATCAAATACACACACCTAGAACAGCTCAAACAAAACTAAACATATCAGCTGGAAGAAATAGTTATAGAAACAGAGTGGCAACTTACATTCACCTCTTAAAGGTCTGCTGTGAGTTTATGGAGAGTCCGGGCAAAGCTCCATTCCTCAACAGACTTGTGTCATGAACTCGCACGTTCTCCAGACATTTCCACATGGAGCTGCTGCGCGCGGCATCATGGGACATGTAGTTTGAGGGTAAGCACATGATCGCTCTGCGTAGGTTAGTTTCGACCTTGACTGAGACTTTTATTATTAATATTAATAATAATAATAATAATAATACATTTGATTTAATGCGCTTTTCTAAAACCCAAAGCGCTTTTGTACTTGTCTCGGAATTAGTGATGGTGGTTAGACTTTTATAGCCCTATAGTCTTTATTTCCGCTGGTTTTTATTATCATTTATTATCATTTTATTTTTATTTTAAACATTTTTATTATCATTATTATCATTTATTATCATTTTATTTTTAAAATGTATTCTTGCTGTTGTTATTATTATAATAATCCGTTTATTAATATCGATTGTCGTTTATTATTTTGTATCTATTTTTCCATCTTTTGAATCGTAAGTCGTTTCAATCTAAATAAAGCTTTAAAAATGTTACAATAAAAATTAAAGAAGTTAGATATATTTTATTTGTTAATTAACGTATTTTAAGCTACTCTAAATACTCTAGACTCTGTTATATCTACAATAAGTTAGTTGTATCTATCGTTCTTATACGAACATTTCTATTTATAATTTCGATCATTCTCTAATCCATTATGTCTACTGGATTATATATCAGGTATTTTTTCCACCGTTTCCCTGGTAAATAGTAAATGACGTGGTAAATGATGTAAGACGCTGCAATTACGTTTTTCTCCACTAGATGGACCATTAGT